GGCACAGTTACGTAGACAAATTTCTGTAATAAAAAGTATTATTTTATGCTTTAAAAACTGATAATTATATAAGTTTCTTTTAAGCAATCTTGAACTATCAAGAAAATCCAAGATGATAGAATAATCTATGATTCATTACCTTTTATATTAGAGCAGTATTGAGAGATACTCAAGCAAGTGTCATTACTTACAAATTTGCAAGTGTTCAGCCGCAAATCTATCAAATAGCGACCACAATTCTTCAAGAATCTGAAAATTCATAATTTAGTTTTTTAAAGTGCTATAAAATTAGTTTCTTTTTTTGTAAATTAAACATGCTCCTAATTGATATGTTATGCAAATTGATATAAAATTTATTACCATGTATTACTATTACCTACTTGGTAAAATGCTCCTCCTTAAAACTACCATAAGAACCACACCAGGATAAATCTAATTTCTGCAATAATTTACTTCTGAAAACATATATGAAAGAATGAGAATACATAAGTACCACAATCCTATATGAGTTTTGTTATTCATTCGAGTATAATGAAATAAAAACAAATATTAAGGACAAAAAATCTAAGGCTAATAAACAAATTATAGTAATCACCTGACGGACAATGTTTGCAGAGCTTCAACATTCAGATAGTGCCAATAGGGTTTCAAACCTAACACGGTATACAACATTGGATCAGTGCAAAGAAGATATAAGTAAGAACTTGTTTGGGAGCATCGAAATAGAGATATTAAATCCAAATAGCCAAGTATTTTCAAAATGGTCTCATCCTGAAAACAAGGTTTTGTTTTGATATGAAATGTATGTGTTTACATTAATCTTTACATAAAATATTGATATTCATATAAATATTACTATTCAAACAACTTATTTTGTGAGAAATTAAAACGAAAAGCATCATATTTATTCTTTTATTACAAACAACATGATTCATACTTACTGGTAAACAGGATATCATTCCTAAATTCCTTTTCTTTTCTTTAGATTTCAAGCTTGATTTATAATCATTAACTACCTTTTGTAATTCATGTATTTTATCTTCATCTTCTATCAGATTTTCATGAAGAGACATTTTACAAATTGCTGACACCAGTTGACCTAAAAATATTCAAAATAAGAACACGAATAGACTATTTACAGTATAAACTATTTTTTTATTACCATTCCCAATTGTGGATATAATTTTCTCTTCTTTGACATCAACATTTTGTGAATTCAATGGCAATTTAGAACCAGTCAGAAGAACTGCATCAAGTTCTGTATAATATTCCAAATGGCTTTGGTTAAATTCTAAACGTAATAATCTAAAATAACATAAAAAAACCTATAATTACACTTTTTGAATTGGACATCAGTTTGTAATAATCTCAAATATCATCACATGTTTACTTTGTGGGGTATTTCGTTGTTTGAATTGGTGGGGTAAACATGCGAGGTTTATGTCCAATAATTTCAGGTTTTCCTTCCCATAATAATGACCAACATCCTTCTGGCTGAGATGCCCAAATCCTGACCAAAGCCCCAGGGTTATAAATTTCAAATAAACTTACACATATTGGATACACTGATGTCTCGTATAAAATTTCTGCAGAATTTTTGTTATATAAAACATTGACATTGGCAATTAACTAAATCATATTTATTTCAAGTTATTAAAATGTGGTACTAAAAAATAAAATATATTGTAAATATTTGGATTTTTGGTTAATAGCAATGTTACAGTAATCAATAACAATATAGCGTGACAATAAATTAGTATTTGATAATGCTTTAATACTATGATGAACTATTGAGTATTTCATCATACTAACAATTAATTAACAACCAAAATATATTGAATCATTAGAAGAATTCTTATTACATAAAGATATATAAACCCTTTACTGATCTATCAATAGAATGCACCTATAAAATCTTCACTAACTATGTTTCCTTCATTTTGGGGCATAAAAGGTTCTAGACGAGATGGTGCTAAATTCCACCACTTGCCATAAGTTCTCTAAAATAAAATTCACTTACAAATTCATTAATTAAATATAAATATTTGAATTCTTCGGTTTTACCATCACAAACGATTGTGAAAAATCTCCATAATCTGGAAATTTAGAAGGTTTTCCACAAATGTTATAAGCAGTATATGAAACACTTATATCACTGCCATACTGTGAGCTAAAATCAGTTACTGCTAGTACGAATTGCTCTATTATATATGAATTTTCCTCTGAATTATCATATAAAGAGCCTTCTGAATCGCTAATATCATCCATTTTAGTGAATTATATATTATTTATTATCATGTTTATTTAATTTTTCGGTTTGTGACAATAATTAATTTTTCAATATGTCAAAATCATGACATATTCAAAGTTTTCTGGGCTTCATGCCATATGTCAAATTGTCAAAATAATTTTTTAGACAGACCTCTGGTACCCTAGACACATAGATAAAAGAAGAGTATATGCCTAGACAATATAAATTGAATTAATAATCTGTCTAGTACTATATGAATAATATATTCATTATTGTCTAGATCTAAACAAAAATACGTATAGATAAATTCATTATTCAAAATTAACAAATTCAAAATTATTAACAAAATAAATTCCAATGTTATATATTTAAAAGCTCGCATAATTTTATATTAAATATTTTGATTTCATAGATCTGTTAAAAATTTGAAGCTGTATATTCGAACCAACATTATAAAATATTTTCTACACTAATTTTTAGAATACATAAATCAGTTCTTTAAATTTTCAATGAATATACAATTTGTGTCCATTGGCCCGTACTAAAATTGCATCATGTTCTATAATATAAAAAAAATTAATAAATTTGTTAAATAACTGGTGGTGTGTGGCATCGTGCTTTAAGGCAAATTGCTGGAATTTCCCGTACCATATTTAGATCCGTATCTCCAAAACGGCTAGACCTGCCTTTGCCAAAATCTATAATCACCACTTTTCTCTATCATCATGAATTGAATATTTTTTGGATCGTCCAAATCGGTTGCTTTGTTCTCTCAAAACACGATTTCTATTTTCTGCAATCTTTGCTCGGTATTTCCGAAACAACTGGACCTACCTTTGACAAAAACTAATCAGCACATCTCCCTATCAATAAGAATCAAATATTTTTTAACCATTCAAATCGAAGACGAAAAATTTTATCCATACATATACACACACACACATCAATTTTTCTAAGGTATGCCAAAATGTTCAGCAACCTTCAAATCGTGAAGATATAATTAATGGATAATTTATAGAAAATTTAAGGAAATTACAAAGCAAAATATTTTTACGACATTTTTTTAATGATTTAAACCGCTCTAAATTCAACTCTTTTTGATCCAAAATTGTCTGTTTAATAATTCAAATACTTTTCAAAATCTTCTAACTGGTTGAACCAATATGAAAAAACTACAAAATGTTTGTTATGTGCTCCCGCATTAATTCTTCTTTAGTTTAGTAAAAGCCCGAATTGGCGCTTGGATCTTCCAACTATTTGACAACGGTCTTGTCGACTATTATGTAAATGTGAAAAACGCGTAATTTAGTGAAATAATGTTTTAATTTAGGTTTGATTCAAGGTAATTTTGCAATACATCGAAGTATAATTTTGCACATTCGTAATGGAAATACAAATTATACAATATTCTGTGAATAATTGTGTTACATGCGTATTTTTTAGATGTTGCGTTCTGCTTTGATCAACAATCCAATAAAATTGGATACCAATTTGTTGAGGGGTAGCTTTGCTTTAGTGTCAAGAAAACAAACAACTTTACCTGTGTACGAAGATGGCAAAACAGATGCCCCCAAACAACCCTATTCACCTTTCCAAAATACTAAATCATGGGGAGAATATACTCTAGCTAGACTTGATGATGTTTTAAATTGGGGGCGCAAAAGTTCTCTGTGGCCAATGACGTTTGGTTTGGCATGCTGCGCTGTAGAGATGATGCATATGGCTGCACCACGATATGATATGGACAGGTATTGTGATTTTAACATAAGAATGTTTGGTTTACTATGAATACTATTAATCACATGCCTAAAATATGAATTTATAAATGTTATTGTTGTTGCAGGTATGGTATAGTGTTTCGTGCATCACCTCGTCAAGCTGATGTTATGATTGTTGCTGGAACACTTACAAATAAAATGGCTCCAGCGCTTCGAAAAGTTTATGATCAAATGCCTGAACCACGTTGGGTAATCTCTATGGGTAGTTGTGCTAATGGAGGAGGTTATTACCATTATTCATATTCTGTAGTCAGGGGTTGTGATAGAATAGTACCAGTTGACATATATGTACCAGGATGTCCTCCAACTGCAGAAGCTTTGTTATATGGTTGTTTACAGCTTCAAAAGAAAGTTAAACGAATGAAAACCCTGCAAATGTGGTATAGAAAATAAATTATTGAAAAGGAGAATATTAATTATAAAAAATATGCTATATCAAAAGTGTAGAAATATGTTTACAGTAATGTAAACAAATTTTATTTTTTCTTCACTAATTATTGAAAATAATATGTTCATAATCCTATAGCAGAATTTAATAAATAAAAACACATTTTAAAAATGTATACAAATTTTATTAGTTGTTTGGTAATATAAAGCTATATTGAAACAATGATAAATTATCTCAAACTTCAAACACTATAAATATTTGAATATTCATGTAACTCATTATTCATGTAAGAATATTTGTCATAGTTTGTTAAACATATCCTTAAAATATAATTAACTTCAATAAAAATCTTTAACAATGTAAAGAGAAATGTTAAAGATTTCAGTTGCATTTTCATAAGTCACGTGCAATCATATTTATGCTGCTCCATTAGTTAATCATGCATTTTTAGTTGAAAAGCAAAATTAAATTAATAAATAATTGATAATATGACAAAAATTTCATATAGAACAATTTTACTTAATATATCACTAATAAAATATTTTATCATATAATGTATCAACAATTTTCATAAAATGGTCCTTTTTAGATTTGAGGGTATATTATTTGCAATTTCATTGCAAACAAATGATATATGGCAATATAAAATATATAAAAATACTTTATAGAAATAGTTACACTTGTTTTGCCTTACTTACTAATGCATATTGTGTGCCATTAAATTGAATATGACTTACATCACTTACATTAAGAATAGGTTTCTGGGGAATAATTGGTTTTTGAGGCACTGGCACTTGTGGTGCAGCTTTAGGCGATTTCCTAATTACTCCATAACCTTGGTGACTATCATCTGCTAACCTTGCTGGTTGTATATTTTCTAGTAATTCACCATTATCCTTCACTTTAACAAATGAATCCGGAGGCTTTATTTTCAAATTATTTATTGATTTGTAACCAAATGATCTATTAAGTTTGTTATTTGATCCAAAATACTGCAATCTGTCATAACTGTTATCTGAATCCTTATTATCAGACAATTGTGTAAGAATGTTTGAAGATAATTCAGAGCTGATATTCAAATTATCATATGATTTAGATCTCTTTTTAAAAGATAACGATAGTTCCTGTTGAGATGAATTAAATGTTTCAGTGTGATTAACTTCATCTAAGCCTAATGTTTTCCATGCATTTTTCCTGTACATTATTTTGTCATACTTAGAACCTTTATTGCTATCAGCAATAGGAGAAACTACATTTTTAACAGTGCTCTCTTTATCTTCTTTAGGATTATGTCTTGATAATACCTCTCTATCAGATTTATCTGTAACATTAGGAAAAATAAACTTACGAGGTGGCTTTTGTGGTTGCACTGATGCTGTATTAACTGATGACAACATTTTATGGGAAGTTAAATTAGCATCAGCAGGTTCTGAAAAGGTCTTAATTTTAAAATTACTAGGGCTTTCCATATCAGTTGAATAATTAATAGATGGTGGAAAGGGACTTCTTGATCTAGCTTCCATATTCATAGCAGCATGAAATTGACTATCAGCACAATCTAAACTAACTATGCATTCCTGACTCATGAGCTTCTTCATTGATTTCATTTTTGTTGACAGGCTGCGAAATATTTCTTGTTGATTTGAATGCTCCAAATGAAAAGTACCTTCACCAGTAAAACACTTCCTACCAGCTTCAAATGTAAACTTTCCACCACGATAACCATATCGACGAATATACATATATGGCCATGTAGCTATCAATGCACCATTTTTAATATCACAGAGTTGAATTGCGTTTCCTGTTAAGTACAGCATATATAAAGTAGATTCAAAGCCACATCTCTCTGATGCTTCAGAAGGGATGAGTTTTACAGTAAAAACATCTTCAAATAAAGTGCAATACAGCTCATTATCTTCCTCTATGCAAATATTTTTTAAAATGTCCTCTTTAAATGCAACAGACTGAAAGGCAGATACCCAAGGTGAGAGCAAATCTTCCAATGTAACACCTATATGATGAACTATAGTTTTAGTAATAATGGCAAAGTATAATGGCGCAGTTTTTGTTATCTTTACACAATTCTCCAAAGTGATGATTCTTGGTGTAGTATTATTAACATCTTCAATAGAATCAAATATTTCTAATCTTTCAATTCCATGACTACTAGATTTAAATAGCATGCAGTATTTCTGAGTCCATATTTTCTAGAATATAACATACATTTACAAAGATAATATTTATCAATAGTTCAAATAAATTGCAAAAGAATACCTTTTTCGTAAGGTTGAACACTATTCCTTGTGGAGGAAATAACAGGTATCCTTTCATGACAGGCTTTTCTACTTCCATGTTGTTGCATTATTTATGTCCACAATATAAAACACTAATTACTAAGAAATTTGAAAACATTTCTTGAAATACACGTTTTTGTTATTACAATCCATAAGGAGAATGCAATACAAGGAATTGCTTATGAACTGTCAAATAAACTACAGAATGTCATCACAAACAGCAACAAGTCTCTGTCATCCAAAGTTCTTTATGTTGGCATCGCGTAAATTCAGTACACGAAAGTTTTGAATTTGAAATGATCAAACTTCACGCAAATTCATTAAATATTAACAATTTCGAACAATACAATCAGTTATTACGGTACATTTTTTTCGCGTTCTACATTCAAAATATATCCATATAAGATAAATATTTTCATATGTTAATATTAATAAAACGAAAGTTGTTTAAGAAAAAGTTTATTATAACAAAAACGTTTATTATATAAAAGTAACCTTATACTAATCACCTTATACTAATATTTACTTGGACCATAATAATATTATGATGTGAGATATTTATGTTTGAATGATCATGGTAAGTACAAAGTTTTGAGTACAAAATAATACACATTCAAATCTTTAGTATGGCCTTTGTATTCCAGATAAGTTACATGCATGAAACAAAAATAGAAGTAAGAACTTATCTATCAGTTCCCACTAGTATAAGCACTTTATACTGAAATTTCATGAAGGGTGTAGAAGAAGTTTATCAGTAATATTTTATCATCCTTTTGTTTTAAATCTGTTTGTCCCATCGCCAAATGGTTCCATCATCACATACACAAATAAGAATATTTCCATCTCGAGAAAATGAGGTTTGTCTTATGGCCGAATTACTTCTAGGGTGACTAAGAGTAGAACAACGAACTGCATTTGGATCAGTTGCATCAAGTTCCCATACAAAGGTGCGACCAGATTGATTTCCAAGAGCCATTACTTTTAACCAGAAATCTAGTGCAAATCTAACAAACCAGATTTCACAATCTTTAAAGTCAAAACGATGAAGAATTGTAACTGATGTTTCACCAAATTTTAGGTCATTACTTTCTAGTCTGCCAGGTTTCCAACAAACAATGCTATTTTCACATGATTTTGACAAGATAAAATCACCCATCCATCGAACACAATCTACATAATTTCTATGGATGTCTCTAGTTGAAAAGTCTGGAAAATCCTCTTTCATTGTATCAAATGGTTTTGTGCTACGTTGACTATTAAAATGATAGCTTTGTTTAATTGCTTCATTCATTGCAGGTTTATCTAATTTCCACAATTTTAAGGAATGATCCATCCCACAAGACATAATTTTATCTCCTTTAGTATTGAAATCAGCACTAAGAACTTCATCCCTATGTCCTTCGACACCTCCAAATATAGCAATACAAACATCAGTTTGTATATTCCACAATCTAAGTGCATGATCTTTGCTTGCAGATAATAATAAATTAGGATCACGAGGATGAAACTTCAACTCATTTATTGCGTGACCATGACCAATATAATTTTTAACACAAGTCATACTAGTAGTGCTAAAGATTCTTATAACACCCCGAGAACCAGCAACAGCTAATAAAGCGTTTCCAGAAGAAGTTTCAAAAGACCATGCACATGTGTAATAATTCTCATCTAAATCTGGATCTGCATAACACTGAAGCAATTTAATGGTTCCCTCCTCAGTGCATTCGTAAACTGATACACGATTGCTGCCTACAGCAGCAAATATTAGAGGTTGTCCATTCTTAAGATGATGATTAAATTGCGCTCCGAATAGAGGTTGACCATGGTCTTCTTTTAAACAATAGGCAAATTTATATAAAGGTTTTGTCATGCTCTTATTTAACTTTTTACGACGTTTGCGCCCTTTTCGGATCCTGCTTGTAGGAGTAACGCTGCGAGACGTATTGTCAGTATTAGTGGTGCTACAATCACTTGATGAGCCCTCAGCTTCATCACCAGATAGTTCAGCATTTGATACTTCAGCAGTATTCATGTTGTTTTTCATGATATAAATAAATTATAACACTATTCTAACATAAAGACGTAAATGCAACTTGACACATCAGTGGCAGGTAGTACAAAAATAAACAAAATATTTATTGTTTGAAGATTTTACCGGTTTAGAAAGGTGCATCAAATAATCAGCGAAGAGATGAATCAAAATATATAAAGAGATGCTAATATTAAAAACGTGCCATTAGATGTAGTGAGCTTCTACAATCAGCCGTATATTGTATGAACTTTTTATTATTTTTAAACATTTAATAGATCAAAGAAGCATCTAACACCGTCCATATTATTAATTTAAAATTTGCCACTATAAAATGAAGTATTAGCTGTCAAGTTTATTAATTTAAACATGGAAACTTGTTAAATTTTGCAATACCAACATACCAACAATCGTTTTGTACTTTTTCTTTGTGTTACTTTTAGTTCAACGTTTTGGCCGTTGGCCGCTGCCGGATAAAAATTTAAGGTTAGCAGTCACTTCGCTCCGTGCTTCTTTGGAGATTGAATTTCGGTCCACATGACTCCATTTTGTTTGGAAGTTTTGGGAATTGGAAACAGAAGCGTTTGTCACTTTTGTTTGTGAACGTATTTTATTCTTTTGGGTTTTATTTTGTAATAAAGAAACCCTCATTAGTTGAACGCATTTGTTTGTTCAAATTGTATTATCAAATTTGTTAAAATGGTGGATAAAATTGAAATGAGTTTAGACGAGATTATAAAGAAGTCGAAAGCATCAAAAAGAGGCCGTGGTAGTGGCGGTGGCGGTGGTGCAAGGAGATCAAATCCGCAACGCAGTAACAGTTTTCGAGGCTCTAATAGAAACAGTCGGGGAGTTCAAAGGGGCAGAAACCGCGGCGGTATTGCGAGACCACAAAATTTACCATTTTCAAAAGTAAGTGTTATCAATTGTCAGAGAAATGTGTGATCTTGAACGCATATTTATTTAGTAGTGTAGTCTTGTGTCCACATGTAAAAACTGTTCGTTCTCAGGGTGATGTGAACAGTGCATGGAAACATGATATGTTCGATGGGTTCGGTGGAAAAAAAACTGTGATGCGACGATCTGATGGTGCAGCAAGTGTAGGGCCCACAAAATTAATGGTGTCAAATCTAGATTTTGGTGTGTCTGAATCTGATATACAAGAACTATTCGCAGAATTTGGACCTTTGAAAAGTGCTTCTGTACACTATGATAGATCAGGGCGATCTTTAGGTTAGTTTCTAGTATTTTGATTAGTATTCATAAATATTTTACCTTCTATAATTTATATAATAAACACTGCCTCAAAGATGCTTGAATGTTTGCTTTATTGAAATACTCTTTATTATAGGTTCTGCTGATGTTGTTTTTGAACGCCGCACTGATGCAGTAAAAGCAATGAAACAGTATAATGGTGTGCCATTAGATGGAAGGGCCATGAATATACAGCTTACTACCTCTGAAATACCATCTTCTACCCGACCACGAATGGGATTCTCTGATCGAAGTGATAATAAACGAGGGTTTGAAAATAGAGGAAATAGAAGCGCAAACACGAGGAATAATTTCAGAAGAGGTATAATATTTGTATGAATATATTTGTTTAATTATGTGTATATATTGGTTATCATTAATTATTTACCTGTTTGCAGGTCGCGGAGCAGCTAGTGGGAGAGGTGGAGGGCGAAATAATTCTAGAGGAAATGCACCAACTGCTGAACAACTGGATGCTGAGTTAGATGCATATGTGAAAGAAATAAAGTAAATTGAGTGCATAATTGACTGTACATAGATAACATACATTTAAAATAATCTTATGACATTTGATTGTGTTGACATTAAAGAACATATATTGAAATTTAGCTTCATATTTACATTCATTTTGACTTACTGCATATATTATCTTAAATGTGCAGTATATTATAAGCATTTTTATATATTTAAATAATTGAGTCAATGCTTAATTTGTTAGAGTAAGTTTTCATTACTATCCTTAATTTTTAATTTGTGGATGTTCTTGTTTTAGTTTAAGTGTGAGAATTAGCAAACAAAACAATTATAAAATATATAATTTATACACTGAATAGATTAATTGAAAATATCATGCATTATGCATGATATTAATGAAATTCATAAGATTTAGCATATAAAAAAATTGTTAAAAAATAATTAATAAATAAAATATAGTTCTTATTTTGTATTTACGTGTGATCATAATATAATATTGAAAAATAGATGTGACCTATCATTTATTTTTCACTTATGTGAGATCTTTACAGCATCTATATTTAAAAGTGCCTTTTGCTTTATTATGTTAATTGTTGGTTGCAGTACTGAGAGCTATTAGGCATCTCCGCGTTAGCCAATGCTTTTAATTTTTTTTTATACACAAATGAAGATTTTAATAGGAACTATTTTGACAGTAATTCAATTGACATTTCTACATAATTAACCTTAAAGTTTTTTCAGTGATTTTTTGTTACTTTTTGTATAGTTTCGACGGACAATAACATGATATTTATAGTTAAAAATTGTTTTAAATTATAAATTATTAAATAACACATTCAAATTATTAATCAATTGTTAAAAATTACAAAATAGTTGAATATGAAAATGAAGAAATATATTAGTAAAATTGCCACAGTTTTGGGGTACACTATTCAATACGGTTGTATAACACATTGCATTTGTGAATATGTCGGAGATTTTGTTATTGTAAGTATATGAAAACAGCAAATATCATACCTTTTCAATATTGTTTTACTCATGCTTATTAAGTGCAGCGGACCTTCAATGGAACCAACATTATTATCAAACAATATATTGTTCACTGAACACATTAGTCCGAAAATGAATTTGTTGAAAAAGGGGGACATTGTTATTGCAAAATCTCCATCAAACCCTAAGCAATACATTTGCAAAAGAATAATTGGGTTGCCTGGTGATGTCATTTATCATCCTGCATACGTAGGATCTGAAAATAATGAAATTATACCTCGTGGTCACGTTTGGTTAGAAGGAGATAACTATAAAAACTCTTCAGATTCAAGAAAATATGGACCTGTTCCTTTAGGATTAATTAGAAGCCGTGCTGTTTTTCGAATATGGCCATTTCAGGACATCAAATATTTAAAACCTTAATTTGTTGATAGTCTATCTTTTAATAGAAAGTTTATGATTAAGTGACATTGTTTAAAGCAAATAGATGATATTTATATGATTTTGTAGTATGTCATCATTGAATATCTTATTTCTAAATTGCACAGACTGGCAAACTTGTCTATTGAACACAATTGCCATTAATGAATAAATATTGTTATATCTATATAATGAAATATTTTTAGTAAATAGTTTGAAATATTAAAAAAATCCATTCTATTAACTTATCACAAAAAAAATGAAGATGTACGGACAAGAAATTTTTGAAGAAGAAATTTATTAAAATTTTGTTGTTAGCTTATTTCCATTTTTCAATAAAGCTGTTCAAATGGTATATATATATATATATATATATATATATATATATAAAACATGTATAAATATGTAAAAAGTTTCAACAATAAGTTTAATAGTTGTGCAATACAATAATGTGCATATTATTATATAATTATTACGTATATATTATATAATTAACTTAAAATGTATAACTTTAGTTATCGATGATAAAAATTTTAGACTAATCTTCATCAAAAATAATACTTCCATAATATTTTGAACTATCTCTGAAAGAAAATAAACCTGCAGTTTCAGACCAACAGTAATCAAAACTATTAGGTATTAGTACACTCAATAATTGCGGAAATGATCCAAATTCAACATACTTAATTTTATCTTTCTTCAAGTAGCTGATTGAACTTAATATATTGGTTATTTTATCTGAAATGATTCGAAAACTTCATATTTGTAAAAGGTTCATAAAATCCTGTAATAAATACAAGTACTTCAAAATACCTATTGAAACAATATATTTCTCCTCTGGTGTCGCTTGCAACACATCGGTAGTATTACAATCTTGCTGTTCCTTTTTATTTTGACAAATTTCTTCAGAGTCTTCAGGATCTGCCTTTATAGTATTACATATTAAGTCTGAAAAGTAATAAATATTCAAAATGAACATATAAACATAACACCATAATAAATATTCAAAATATAAACATATAAAGTATTTCATTTCAATCTTAAAGAATGTGTCATTCTATATATTATGTGCTTACTTTGTGAATTTGCAACACTTTTATTTCTTTTTCGTTCTTTTTTAGAACTTTTATGTTTCTTCTTATTGGTTTGATTTTTGGTGATATTAGATTCTTTTGCTTCCTCAGAAGATTGAGCTTTAGTTTTCTTTTTTTGCTTTTTTTTTTTCTTAACTAAATTTGAACTCAAACATTTTGGATCTGCAATTATATCTTATTAAAATCAAATATATATATAACATTACATTTTACACTATGTTACAATTATAATTAAAAATTCTTTTAGTGTTCAAAAGCTGATTTAGACCCTAAAAACTATGCAGTTTTTTTAAATCCAAAAGCGTCAATATTGTTATCTAAAATAAATAATTAATACTTATTTAAGTTAACTTAATAACATTGAATAATCAACTGAAATAACAATACACTGGGGCCTCGCTTTACGGCCTAGATACGTTCCGCAAAACTTGGCCGTAAAGCGAAAAGCCGTATAACGAATCAATTATTCTAATACGTATTCATACAAATTCAATGGGATCGGTTCCAAATTTAATAAATATATAATATGGTTTCATCCAAAATGCATTTTATTTTTTTATTTTGTTTAAATTATAAACATATCTAACAAGAACATAAATTTTACATAAAATAAAAAACTTCAAAAACATTACATAATTTTCAAATAAAATGAAACAACTAAAACCTACAGATCACTGTCACCATCATTTTGCGCTGGTGGGTTGAAAAATTTGTCTTGTTTGTTTTGCCTTCTTGTCTATTTTTCCTTTAGTGATTTATAACAGTTAATGGCTGAGTTAATTCCTCGATACACATAAGCGCTACGTTCGATGTCAGGATCGTTTTCAAGGAAGATGTTTATACCTTGTTCAAAATATGAAAAAGCGCTCGACATGATTTTTGATGTTAGCTGTTTGGATACAACAGGTTCTGTATCTTCATCAATTGCCGGCTCTGCTTGCAACTGAATGAGTTCCTCATATGAAAGGGGTTCCCTATCAGTTGCAAGTAGATCCAGCACATCAGATTCGTTTAAATCTTCAAAACCGAGATTGCGCAATATATCGACATAGAGAAAAAAAGCCGTTATAGCGAAACATTTTAGGCCGTATATCGAAAACGTACCTTAATTAAAGAGGGCCGTTATAGCGAAAGGCCGTATAAAGAGCGGCCGTATAGCGAGGCCTGGGTGTAATTAATTATATAAAAGTAAATATTTTATTTAACACAAGAGTATCTACTTGCTAGTGCATTATAAAAAAAGTACCATTTTCCTCATTCGATGAAATAGATATTATGCTGAAACTAGAAATTGGTCTTACTGGAGGTTCAAACAAAAGACGTGCTATGTGATCCGAATTATCAAACCCATTTTCCAAAAGCTCCATTTTTAAATCCTAAAATACAGATAAATGAATTATTATATACACATAAAAAGCGACATATTGAAACAATATAGAAGAATAATGTATGTGAAATATTATATATATATATATATATATATATATATATGTATATATATAATAATAATTTTATTCTATATATGATTATTATATTGTTTAAGATTATCATAGATAAACAAGTATATCTGTATTACTAATTGAGAATAGGTAGTTATGGTACTTACATATATTGGTTTATTTCCTAAACACGAATAATGACATTAAAAAATAAAACTAGCAATAATAATGAAACAAATCCATCAACATGTCTTTTTAATCATTTTATCAGTTGAAATAGTTGTATTCATCGGTAATCTAAAAATTAGTTTGACAGATCTTTAAGTATTTTGCGGTTGGTGACTGTCTAGGGTTGGTGACATCAAATTGACACCCAGTGGCACCCATCAAAGTGACACCCAGTGACACGATTGACATTTAAAATGTCAATCAGAAAATATGAATTGCCAAATATACAGTTAATCAATTTTTTAATTATACATTAAGGCGAAATTTTTTCAAACATTAAATATTTTCAATAATGGTGTGTGTACCTTGTATTTTTATCCCTGTTCTCCTTTTTCTGTGGAGATTATTTGTACAGCCACTATTTTTAAAATTTGTATGGAATCCTTGGGCGAAAAATGATGACGATTCCAAAAACAAAACACCTGAATTTCCTTTCACCTGTGCTGGAGGAGTTTGCAAGTTTAATCCAAAGAAACCTGTTGAAAATATAACTGAAGAAAATAACAAAAAGAATGAATAATAACTGTGAATACCTCGATGCATTATAGATTTTAGTGATTGGTTTATATATATATATATATATATATATATAAAAAATTGTTTGCATACAATGCATTAATTTAAGTTTAGATGTTTCTATTTATAGTGTATCTTATTCCAGTGATATGCTTATTATATTATAATTTATAATAACAAGTAAGGCTGTTTGTGCACTGAATCGACCTAAATCATTAATTTTAACTATGCTGCAATGTATAGAATATTAAAATAAAAATAAATAATCCTGTTTATTAATCATTGATTTTTATTTACAAACAACATAGAGTATGCGCAAGTAAAATTTCACATACAATGGTTTACTTTGGAATATCTGGTCATTATTAAACCAAAAACCATGAAAATTCATAATCAACATGTTGAATATATGATTAAAATATTGTAAATAGTGTAAGTTGTTCTTTAATCATCGCATGAAGATATTTGCACAGTCTATGATTTAAATATTAGAAATTATTATAGTACATTTTAATTTTATAGCAACATTAGACACTTTCACAATCTACTTTAAACATTATCTAACAGGTAATAAAGTGATTTTTTTATAAATATCTGTAATAAAACTAATTTCAAAAATTTGTCATTTGAAAGTCTCCATCAAGTATCTAATCTTTTAATTGAACACATCATTTTGGATAGAATGTATCAATTTAATTTTAATGCAATAAATTGTGCAGTTTGTTACCATAATTGTTTTTTTTAGTAAGAAGTGCTACAATTAAAAAATAAAATGCAAAAAAGCACCTCAGATTACATTTGGGTATTTAACAATATCTGGATATCATTGGCTTCTTAATTCTTTTCCAATACTGTAAGAAATCATTTTATTCCAATCAATTTTTGTTCTTGTCACTGGAAGTTGTCTTCGCAAGGCTTTGAATGTTGTGTCAGACATAGTTTGATAATTTTCAGAAATTGCTTTCTGATAGCAATGCTCAGACTCTTCAATAATTCTAATCACTTCACGTGCAGTATTAGTATCAGAAGATATTACAACTGCTTCTTTTATTTCTTTAGAGCTCACTAACTGAACATTTCCATCTTCATAATAATGAACTTGCACCTATAAAATTTAGTAATTAATTATATTTAGTAAAATAATTATCAAAAATTAATGTCAAAAACTACTATAAATCAGACACAAATTATAATAACCTTAAGTATTCCTCGTAGTTCGGCACTACCACCTGAAGGATTAATATTTAAAATCCACTGAGATCTCCATCGGCCGTTCCAATAGTTATTGGGTTGAAATTGATGATCTTCCATGCAAGCAGTTATTGCAGTAACTCCTTGGCTAACTTTGCCAAACACAGAACTAACACCATGTTTATAGTGGCTTGCACAATATGCTGTCACCTAAGAAAGAATTACATATACTAAATAAATATATTTTTATTAATGTGAGTTATTTTGCATTTGTTTACCTCAAGATCCAAAGCTGAACGAAGAGCTTCACATGATGATTCTGGTTCATGATTTTGCAAATCAGATGCTTCTTTTCGAAGATGATCATACTTGAAAGATTGTTTGGAACGGGCATCATAAAATCGACCATTACCTAGACATATATAAAAATGTCATCAATTATAGCTTTTAAAACTAGTATTTTGAATGACACAATTATTTAAACTTTCATTATGTACATTCAAAAAACTTTCAAAAGGCTATATGTTTTAAATTAATTAAAATCTCACCAAGATCATTATATTCTGTTATTAACACCTGATGGTCTGAGTTGTCAATTCGGACGGGTGTCATCTGATCCTTATTGTACTGAGCAAAGGCCCCAGAGGCACCCTCTTTGAGTAGATTATCATTATTCAATAATTCCCTAACGTCGTTAAAAACTTCATTAAATTCTCCAGGTGGAGCGTGGAGTATAAAATCTGATACTATCCTAACTTTTTCTTGGTCACTTATTAATTCGTCACCATCCGCCGCCATTGTTAATAGGTTGGGTTTAAAGAGAACTGAAGCGATTGGAGTCAAAATTGATACATAATTTAAGCCAAAATGTGTTCAAACATTTCTTTTATAAAATGCAGATATGTTGCCGAACGCTGACATAGACATTATCATATTGGTGAACCTGCTTAACACTGCAGCAGAACTGTCATAAAAGATGTTTGATTAACTTGAAAATAAACAATTTTCTTATATTTGTATATATTTAGTAATAAAAGTGGCATATAATATATAACAATGCAACGAAAAAAAATAGCATTTGGGAAAATTGGATCAAATTTTATGAGGGGATCTGAAAACCGAAATGATATTGTTATACAGAATGGCTTTGGAAAATTTGGGGGCACCAGCACTAATTCCGTTGAAACTGAAAGTATTCCACAGGATCCTGAAACTCAAAAAGTTAAAGAAACTATGGGATTACCGGGTTTGGCCGCAAAGCAAAAACTTTTGATGTAGAAGAAATGAAGGTGAAACAAATTCATCAAACTGTTAGAGATAAAACTAAAGATATAATTAAAGATAATACTAAAGATAATTCTGAAGAAGAGAGTGATATTGTAGGTCCCTTACCTTCCAATTTAACATCTGAAAATGCTGATAAAACTGTGGAATCCGATAAAAGTGAAGACAGTTATGATGATTTAAGTGACTCAGATGAAGATGATTCTAATGAAAAACTTTTAATAAACCGTATACCTTTATCCATGAGGTGAATATGAATCATGGCACAAAAGTGTTGTTGCAATTGCTGCTGATCCTTCAGGAGCTCGGCTAGCATCTGGCTCAATTGATTACCTTCCAATTTAACATCTGAAAATGCTGATAAAACTGTGGGAATCCGATAAAAGTGAAGACCGTTATGATGATTTAAGTGACTCAGATGAAGATGATTTAATGAAAAACTTTTAATAAACCGTATACCTTTATCCCATGAGGTGAATATGAATCATGGCACAAAAGCTGTTGTTGCAATTGCTGCTGATCCTTCAGGAGCTCGGCTAGCATCTGGCTCAATTGATTATAATGTATCTTTTTGGGATTTTGCTGGTATGGATAAACTCTATGAAGTCTTTCCGCACATTGCAGCCTTGTGAAACGTATCCTATAAGATGTTTAGAATATTCAAGTACTGGTGATCTTATACTTGTAATATCAGGAACATCGCAAGCTAAAGTTCTTGATAGAGATGGTTTTGAAAAAGTTGAATGCATAAAAGGTGATCAATATATGCAGATCAATCGAGAACAAAAGGCCACACAGCTTCCTTGAATTGTGGTTCTTGGCATCCTTCTGTAAAAGGAGTTTTTAACTTGCTCTCAAGATGGTACTTGCCGACTATGGAACCTGAAGAATCCAAAACAACATAAAAATATTATGAAGGCAAGAACCCAAGGAGGTTTAAAAGCAAATCCAACAACATGCTCTTACAATCGTGATGGAAATCTAATTGCATGTGGATGTTACGATGGTTCAATACAAATTTGGGATCATAGAAAAAACTTTGTAAATACAGCCTTTCTTTTAAGAGATGCACATATGAAGAATAATGAAATTTCCTCTTTAAGTTTTTCATATTTAGGATCTTATTTTGCTACTAGAGTTGTGACGATACAATGAAATTATGGGATATAAGATTTTTTAAAAAACCTGTACATGTTGCTGATAATCTATACTCTAGATATGAACAACATGCATTGTATGTTCGTGATGGTTCAATCTAATTTGGGAGTCGATGAACAAACAAAAAATGCCTTTTTTAAAGACACACATTTGAAAATAATGACAATTTCCTCTTTAAGTTTTTCATATTTAGGATCTTATTTTTTGCTACTAGGAGTTGTGACGATACAATGAAATTATGGGATATAAGATTTTTTAAAAAACCTGTACATGTTGCTGATAATCTATACTCTAGATATGATACAACAGATTGTATGTTCAGCCCTGATGATTCAATGCTGATTACTGGGGAGTCGTTGAACAAAGGAAAAAATGAGGCCCGATTGATGGTTTATAATACACACACATTTGAAACTGTGACAGAAGTTCCTGTTACTACTTCTCATGTAATAAAGACATTATGGCATCCAAAACTTAATCAAATATTTGTAGGATGTGGCAACGGGTTGGTAAAGTGCTACTTTGATAATAATATGAGTATGAGAGGTGCTAAATTATGCATTGTTAAAATGCATAGGAAACAAAAGAATGTCGAGAGCATTAGTGAAGTTCAAGTGATAACACCTCACGCTTTACCTATGTTTAGGCAAGAAAGATCTAAAACCACAAAAAAGAAAATGGAAAAAGACAGATTGGATCCAGTTAAATCCAGACGTCCAGACCTGCCAATTACTTCTGGTCAAGGCGGCAGAGTTGCTTCTTCTGGAAGCACTCTTAGTTCTTATGTTATTCGTAATTTGGGTTTAAGCAAACGAGTTGATGATGATCAAGATCCAAGAGAAGCAATTCTTAAGTATGCAAAAGAAGCTGAAGAAAATCCATATTGGATAGCTCCAGCTTATAGCAAAACTCAACCTAAACCAATATTTAGCAGTGATAAAGATGGAAAATTAGATCAAACAGAAGAACCACCACAAAAAAAGTCTAAACCGGATTGAGAAATGTCATTTCAAATAGAGCTATTAAAATATAATAAAGTTATAATAATACATTTTAAAATAATAAAATCCATCATTGTTTATGATATATTTTCAGCTTATTCAGTATAAAGCCCTATGAAACGACATACTACATTTTATCTGAATGATTTGTACAGATGTAATAAATAGACTATGATCATCTTAATAAATAATATAAATTTCAATTAATTTTTGCTTTGGACTCTGTTAATTTACAAACAAAATTATATAATATAGAAAAGTTTTGTATGAACAAATAAATAATTCCTAAATATGCAATAATAGCAATAGTAAGAACCAAATCGAATATAGCTGGTTTAACCCTGAAAATAAACATTATATTTAAGGTGAAACAGTTTAGATTAGAAAATACAAAATTGATGTCTATAATATATGTACATACCGATAGATATTTAATATTGCTTTAGAGCCTTCATACAACATGAATTCTGGATCCCTTTTATCTGGTGTTAATACTGTAGCTTTAACATCTTTCAAGTATTTACTCATTCCTTCTTTTAAAGCTGAAACAAGAGCATTATTTTTATCACAAAGCAACTGGGCAGATCTTGGTTGCTTTCCAATGTATTCCATCCAAGATTTCAAAGAGTCCTTTTCAACCTTCTATAAAATTTAATTAATTAAATAATGCATCCAAAAATAATAAAATATATGCTATAAAATTAATATTTACCAGTGAATTGCTAAAAATTTGACTTGAAGAAATATTATATATCTGACTTGCTAACGCATCAGCAATTATTTGAGTATGTAAAGCTAACTTTTCTATAGATATAGTGTCTGTACGGTCCAATATTGTTGATCGTTTTTGATCCTTATAATTCTAGATAAAATAACATTTTCTTAAATAAATGACATTAATTCAGTAAATATCATTTGATTAATGAATAAAGTGATACCTTTATTGTTGATAAAGTAAAAGCAGGTAATCTGCGAATACTATATCGCTCATGTTCCCAAGCCAATATATCATCTGCAAGATTTATTTTCTTATGTATACCTTCAATTGTCACCTGATTATTTGACTGATATTTGCCAGCAGCTAATTTGAGTTCTTTATAAAAGATGTTTACTGGTGTGTTCTCTTTAGGTGGCTTCGATACATGCATATACAAAGAGTTTCCTGAGGCTACATTATCTAAACACATTATATAAGTGGCGTCCTAAAATACAGAAAATCTCATAATTGATATAATCTATAATAATTCTATAAAATAGTCAAATTTACATACCTGAATGATAGAACCATCAAGTGAATCTAATTGGTCTTCAAGCCATTTCTTGCTGCCCATGTAATTTAATTTACCCCCACCGGTTAATAAAAATACTAAATTATAATGACCAACTGTATTAACATTTGAATATAAATGGGAAAATATCCTAGCTAATTCTAATAAAACACTAGCACCAGAAGCATTTGAATCAGCACCCATTGACATTTCCTGAAAAACATTACTTGTTCAAATATTTTACGAATTATATTAATTTCATGAACTTACAGGTGCAACCCCGAGACTATCATAATAAGCTACAATCGCAATAGTTGGCAGTTTTCCATCAGATCCTGGTTGGCCATTTAAATTTCCTTGCAAAGTTACAACTTTAATATCAGATTTTTGTGCATGGGATCCCCCGGATACTACTATTTGATATCCATTAGCAGCAACAGAATTTATTATTGAATCAAGAGCTGGTTTAGATTTATCATCTATGCTTCCTACATCATTAATATCATTGAGTATAGAATCAACATCTTGAGACCATGTAGTAAAATATACAGGAATTGAAACATCTTGTGTAAGCATAGATCCTTCTAATAACATAAGAACCTGGAATATAAAATTCATGATAAAATAAATTGCTTATCTTATTGAATAAAAAATATAATTTATAATAATGAATAATAGAAAAAAAAAATATATATTAAGTTAAAGGAATGCATAATATATATAATAAATAACAAATAAATGTGAAAATGTATAACACAAACCTGTTTTTCTTCTACTGTTAAATTATTCAAAGTTTCTGGTAGTACAATAAGTAATGCACCAGCTTTGCTTTGCAAATTATGAAAAATTTCAACTGTTAAATCCTGCAAACTGACAACAACACAATGCCTTGATGTTCGATACCCCTCTAAAGATCGTGCTTCTAAATTTATAGCAGAACTCCGACAACCTATTACAATAATTATTTAAATAATTTAATATGTAAATGAATACATAATAATTTCATAATATTCCTTAACAATTCAGGGCTTAAAGTTATAGTTTAATATTTTGCATAATTTGTAAATGAACTTCAAATATAATTTGCAGCTTTTAACTTATCCATTTATTACATTAATTTTATTATTAACATACAAAAAAAAATCGAGGTAACAATGTTTAGCCCTTAATAAAGTAAAATGACGTGGATAGATGCAATAAAAATCCTTCCAAAGGATTACTTTTCACTACCTAACCTATACAAAATGAAAGATATTTTCTGTGGGATTTTTCGGATGGAATTTTATTCTACAAAGATTTAATAATATATAAATACTCTTACCGTAAGTATTTCCATGTAAATCGTATTGATGCATGCGGTAGGCACTAAATTCATGTGAGGATAAAACTGGAGTCGGTGAAATAATTATAAAAATAGGTAGAGCAATTAATAAATAATAAGGTAAATAGCCTTTAAAAAGCTCGGAAAATCCTTCAGCGTCTTCAAACATTTTAATTTCGAGTGAAATATATGTATAAATATAATTTGAAGCACTTCAAGATTATTTTGACAACCACCTGACTAGAACGATTGGTAACCATTTGAATATATGCACGCATTTCACAGCAGGGTTAACAATAATCAAAACGTAATTACAGAAGTTGATTTTTTGTCTTCTAAGTTTTATTTATCAAATACAATAAATACTGATATTTTTGCTGACAATTCTTTAAATATACTGTATTATTTGCTTTCGATATCTTGGTATGTATCATTTCTCAGATAATGTGAAAAATGGACGCAAATGCCAAAATTACAAAGTATTATTGCAAAAGTTTTATAGTTAGATATTCTATATACATAGTTAGAAAATTACAATTTATTTTTTAGAGTTATGGAAGTTGAAGGTTCTGCATGCATTCCACCAAATACTGAAACTAATATTCCAGGACCAAGTTCTCCATCAGCATTGACAGGTTTACCTCGTATAGATGAAGCTGAATCTGATCCAGCCCCTCCAAAAGAGAGGTATATAATTCATATAAATCTCTCATTTTAATTTTTAATAAAATACATATCTAATATCTTTTAGAATATATTTACACACATACATAACTTTATTGATAAATAAATATATTGAAAGTTATGTTGATCAAAAATATATTTTCAATTTCATCCTTTTCTGTCTATCATATCATTCACAAAATTAAAATATTATATTTAATTAGGTTTTTCAGTCTTTTGGATCAGTTAGAAAATCATGTAGAACGTTTAAGAAGAGAGGCTGCTCGACTGGAAGAGGAAAGAGATGGATTGCTTGCAACACTTGATTCTTTGAAAAATTCAGAGAGCATGAGTGACTTAGATGAATGTAAATATTAATATTAATGTTTGTATATATATATATATATATATATATATATATATATATATATACTCAATAGATAAGTCCTGGATTTTTTCAATATATTTGTTTCCTTTCCGAACAGTAAATCGAATAATAAAAAATTTGTTTTTTGAATTAATTTTGTGTGTATACATACATGTATATATGTAATAATTTATACACATTCATATATGTGCTTGTATGTATGTTTTTGTATATACACTATATACATTTACTTGCGTTTATGTTCGTGTATATAATTGTATGTACATGAATATATAAATTGTATGTACATGAATATATAGAATTGTATGTGCATGTAGGTGTGTATATGTATGTACATGTATATATACATAATAATATTTCTCAGAATTTGCTTAGGCAATAGATTCCCATTTTTCAAAAATTACCAATACAAGAACCATAAAAATTATTTTTGCCTAAGTCCGTATATATTTCTTACATCTGGCCAACAGAATTCCATTACAGTGTGTTACAAAGTCTCGTGAAGTTAAAAACATTTACAAATATTCTCGGGAATGAACAAAAAAAATTAGTGTTTTTACCAAAAGATATTAGTGAATGGATATATAAATTATTACAGGTAAATAATTTTTGCTTCTCAATTTTATATAAAACTTTTAAAATTAGTTAATTTTCATTACTCTTTACACTGGTACATAATTCATTCCTTTATAATTTTTCTAAATAATCTGTAAAACCATCATTAATTAATGTTAGTTAATGGTTGTCAAAAAAACATTGTCTTTGACAGAATAAACCTGACGATGGAACGTATCTAGTTCCAAAATGCCGTTATTAAACATCTTCAAAAAACAAATTGTTTTTTATTATTGGATTTACTGTTCGGAAAAGAAACAATCAATATATATCTTCTATATATATATATATAAAAATAAGTCGGGTTTTTCTTCCTGACGAAATAACTCCAGAACGCACGAACCGATTTCGACAATTTTGCATTTGTTGGAAAGAACTCGGGCTCCGCAAGGTTTATAGCTAAGAAAATTAGTGGTGCATGGCATCGTGCCTTAATGCAAATTGCTGGAACTTCACGCACCGTAATTAAAAATTCGAGTAATGACATTAGTGAGAATTATCAGAATTATGCTTGGTTAAGTCAACGAACAATTCTTGCCGCAAAGTATAATGATGTACACGCACTGAATTTCACCATTCAATCAAAAATTGCTTGCGATTTGGTTTGACTTCAAACGAATGCAATTTCCAGTTCGCCTTGCGTTCGCAATAACAAGTCGCAAGGCCAATCGCTTAGTGTTTGCTATTTTTAATTTCAAATAGATTATTTAGAAAATCATTGTTTTTCACATAGGCAGTTATACGTTGCCTGTTCACGAGTTAGAAAACCATCCGCTTTGTTTGTGTTAACGTCAGACCCAAAAAACAAAAAATGTGGTTTCCAAAGATCACTTCCATGAAACGGATAATTTGGGGATTCACTTTCATTTACTTAGAGAAGTTCAACTAAAAAACACTTCATTTTTGTTATCGAAATAAATTCATTACTGTTGTGCAATAAAATCATATTTTTCCTTTTCAAATATAAAACAAACAAAAAATTTCTTCATCGTTCTCACGAAAACATCTGGTGGCGAAACGGAGTTCGTTGGGTTTGCTAGTATATATTATATATTATTATATATATATAATACATAAAATTTAGATTTATTTTTGTTATAATTGCCATGATCTCTCATACCAGAACAATTGTCTGACTGAGATACAGTATGTACAAATTATATCAAATATAAATATATATATATATATATATATATATATATATATATATATATATATTAACAAAGTCTAGTAATCGGGCACAACATCAATAAAAAACCTGAATTTCTTTCAGAAATTTACTTTACATCCATATGTTTCAGCTATAATCCTAGCCTTCATTCAGTGGAAAAATTAGTTAATCTTAGTGTTAAATTGGAAGATTTTAGTATTCTATGGTATCAGGATATTGTAATCTATATATCATTATATGAAGATATATCTTCAACCAGTCTAAGAACAACACATATATTACACACTATTTGTGATTTTTTAAAATTAGTACTTTGTGAAAATATTGTTTAATTACAAGTTTAATGTTTATATTACATAGTGTAGTGCATTACCATATCCTGATGCCATGGTTTATTAAAATCTTCCAATTTAATACTAAGATTAACTAATTTTATCATTGAATGAAGGCTAGTATGCACGTAAAATAAATTTTTGAAAGAAATTCAGGTTTTTTATTGATGTTATACCCGAATACTAGACTTTGTTAATACATATGTCAACATCAAATTCAGAATCATACAATATATATATATATATATATATATATATATATATATATATATATACAACAATATTTTACATATTGTAGATGAGAAAGATGAGGTAATTCGTTACTGTGACAGAGTTTTATCTCGATGTCACACAATAGAACTGACAATTCGGACAAATAGAGATATACAACAGGAAGAAGCATTACATCAGGTAATTCTTAATGTAATTTACCAATAATATTTTTTTTTATCTTACCTTGGTATATTTTAAATTTCAATAAAGTGTTTGATATTTTTGATATTCAAAACCTGTAAATCATAGGTAAATGCCATTATTGACAACATTGTACTGACTGCCAGATCAAATTGGAATGAATCTAGAACCAAATGTGAATCATTCCTAAATGCTTGCATTTCGCAACCTGGTGGGCCAGTAGACAAAACATTTGAGAAAGTTATTTTGGGCTGTGCGTTAGATGATCAGAAAAAGATTAAAAAACGTTTACAGGGTTTGATTGATTATTTTGATAAAATGAGTCAAATGTAATTATTTTTTAATTATAAAAAACTACATTCCTTATAAAACAAAATATATTTTTATGTGATGTATTTAACGAATCTTGAAGTAACTTTCTTGTATCACTTTACTCCAAAGATGTTTTTTTCCAAATGTTTCATGTGATTTAGAAGCAATAAGAGCTTTTTGAAAAGCGTTTAGATAATTTGGTGCTATCATTGTTGACAATGTCATGAAATACAGCCATTCAATGACCTGAAATTATAATAAGTGTTGTATGAATTAGGAAATTATTAAGTTTGCACATAAATGACAAATTAATAAATTATTTATTTTATATACTTAAAAAAAAAATGCACTTTATTATCTTGCAAAGATCTCAGGATGAGTTATTGATTGCTTATACTTTAAAATGTATAAAATTTTGATGTCAAATAAAGAATAAAGCTCAAAAAAAAAATGATTGTTTCATCACCTGTTCTATTGTATCTTTCCATCGAGCTTGTTTACTAAGAATACTAATCGCTACTGGAAACAATTTGAATTTAATAGAAAAATCTATTGGTTTATTTGATACTAAGTAAAAAGCACCACTCAAAGATTCTAAAGTCACCATAAGCACATCACATAAGAAGTGTAAGCCATTCTTAGGCGGAGTGTTTGATTTATCATTTTTCAACTTTACTAATTCTGCCTGTGTTTGTCCCATCAGCTCCAAACACCAATCACAGTTTACTGGCAACAAAGTTTCATCATGCCTTTGTTGCATGACTGATATTATTTTGTTTAAAATATAATTTTGTTGTTCATTGGATTCAGAAACACCAGCATCAATAATATCATTCAGCCAAATTAAAGCTTTTTCATCATTTTTGTGCTTTACTGACATTGCTGATCGAATGATCACTGCTTTGCAAAATTTAGTTGCTGAGGTTTCCCACCAAATAGTAGGAGATGAAATGCGATCAAAATATAAAATTGGTAGTTCTAGACAACAATTGGTAAGACTTGTAAATAACTAAAAAAAGAAACTGTTCTTAGGTAAAACAAATATTTGATAATACTAATAACGGATGTATTTACCTTATCATCTTGATGGATTTTATCTACTAACATTTCAATGGTTTGTGCTACCATAACTCTATTGTCGTCCTGAATATCCTCAGATATTAAAGTCATTCTGATATGTTCAAGCAATTGTTCAAATAATTTATCATCACTTTCATTTCCATTATTAGATAATGCTTTATCTAGTGAAAAATTTAGTGTATTGACAATGACCTTTTTCAAAGCGTTTGGTTGAAGAAACTTACAGAAGTTTGGTAAATTTTTAAATATGCTTACTATTTCTTCAAACTACGAAAGAGATAAAATTTTGAAATTTATAAATCTATCTAAATAAAGGTGGAGATTATTTCATGGAGATATTCCATTAACCTTAATGTTTTCGGGATCAAAATCATTCAAATAATTTTCAATAAATCTTTTAGCTGAACCTGATATAACCATTTGTTTTGAAGCTATATTAATGCAGTATACTCTATATAGTTCATTATGATGATACAGATCATGAAGGCAACACCAATTTATAGGTGGCAAAGGCTTATCATAATTTTTGTTCAGTATATATAAACAGTGTTCTAATACTGGTTCATTATCAAAATTCTTTTTGGACTGAAAAAATAGTTTTATATAATTGCAAAATAATTGTAAATGTATATGATTACTTGTGAAAATTACTTGTTCTAGGACATATTCAATAACAGCTCGCACAATACTTTTTAAAGGCAAGTTAGAACAATCATTTGGCTCTCCTTTACCAGATGTAACTCTGTATATGCCGCTACGGTATTGTGAAATTTCTGAAGACATCCATTTACTAATTAAATCACTTGCTTTATGAATACATAGCCTATTAATATTTTGCAGAAGTCTTATCCAACATTCACCTATACACAATTATATGATATAATTAATAAATATAAATATATTTGTTTATACAGTGGTACCCCCAATTTACGAGTAACCTGACATACGAGTGTTTTGAGATACGAGCCCCAAACGAGCAATTCGTTGATTTGACATATGAGCAAAATTTGATATACGAGCTTTGAGCAAAATAATAATATGTAAAACGTCTAAGGGCCTTACAATAATTTATAAGCCGCTTTCTGAGCTCTAAAAGTTAGTTGATAAAAACCACCGCAAAAAAGTTGCAACAGTTCGAGCATGAGTGTTGGGAACGAATTAAACTCGTATGGGTACCACCATATATAAAATGTAAACATTATTGACTATTATATATAGTTAATAATTACCCGGCACAAAAGTTAACACTTCTTCATTTTTTTCGGGATTATCCTGTGATGGTTTATTAATATTTAGCAATTTAATATTTTGCTTAAATTCTTCTGGTATATCTTTTAATTGAATATCCTCTATTGAAAATGTAGACAAGGCTTCTAAAGCACTTTCTATTATTTCTTTTTCATTATAGTCAGTAACATATGACCAGAGTTTACTAATAATTTCTTCAGTTAAATTCTGATGTTCGATTAAATCTGAATTCAATAATGGAACCATCCCAAATAGTTTGCAAAGGCTAAAGAATTAAAATATATAGTTTTTCTTTATAACAAAAACGAATGCATTATAGTTAACTACATAATCCAAATTATTACTATCAATAAGGCATTTGCAATAAATAATGTGATTAAGATATTACTTTTACGCACCTCACAATGACACGTGGCCTTTTCTCATTATTTAATCTAGGAGATAAAGCTTGCCATGTACTAACAATATCCACAACTCCAGCCTTACATAAGTAAGAAATTGATTCTAATGCAATAGATGCTGGAAATGCACTTCTTGTATCTGTGCAACGATTCAATAATTGTGATATATGTGCTACTAATTCTGAACCATGATGCTCTGGTCTAAATAGGAGAGTAATATTCACATTATACACACATTAATACACTTTATATTCCATTGTTAAGAATATACTTCATCTATAATGCAAAGTGCAAGCCATATAATTTACCTATTCAAACAAAGTTCTCTAATAGCAACTGCTTTTGCTATATCTATGTACCATTTGCTAGAAGTATCTGTATATTTTTCTACTAGTGACTCTTGTAGGTATGGATAACATCTTATATCAACATTACAAAGTCGCATTTGCAAATCAATACAAAGACTCTGTAATGATATGGGACCCTTCTTCAAACAGGATATAGTATGGACTATTAATGGTATATTTTCCTGAAATGATATTAATAAATGCAAATCTCAAAACTCAGATTTTATTCAAATTAAAATATTTTTCTAATATCCTTACTTTAATAATAGCCATTTCAGGTAAAGATCGTAATAACTCAATTTGAACATTAACATTACATTCGTGAGAAAGCTTATAAAGCACTAATGTCAATAAACTCAATGCTAATCTATTATTTTCTTTTAACCCACTTAATAATAACTTCAATGCTTTTAAAATAACGTCTCCATCAAAATTACAAACAAATATTCCAAATAAATAGGTACGAATTTCGTATAGAAAAGACCTATTATTATTCTGAATTAGATTATCTAAAAAATTATTCAGTGCAGATGTATCTTTCTGGAAAATTATTGATATTTCAGCTAATTCATCATATTTTAGTAAAGTAGCAGAAAAATGTTTTATTGTTTGAAACAATGGATAATCATCAGAAACATTTTTACTGGTAGTGTGACTATAAACTTCAATAAACTGTTTAAGTTCTAAAGCTTTCTTCAAGGAAGTTGTTGTTAGGCATGAAGAATATGCCATCCACTGTAAAATTGATGACACTAAAGTGTGAACTGCAATAAAATTCACTGATTCCACATGCAGTATATTATCACCTAAAATAATTTAAATCAGCTTTAAACCAACAAATAATATATATATATATATATATATATATATATATATCCAAAAACAAATAGAATAGATAATTAGAATGGCTAATCATAATTTAATACTCACATAATAGAATAAGATCATGTAAATAAACTGAGGGACATATACTAATACTTTCAGCCAATATCATACAAATATGATCAACAGCAATTAAAGATTTTTTTTCTTGAAGAACTTTTGATATTATTACTATTGTTGGTTTAGGGTCAACCCCCAATTTTAACAAGTTTGGTACCAATGATATCAAATATGGCACAATTGGCATGTAAAGTTGAGGTAAATCAAGTAAAATTGCCCTCTCTAAAAGCTCAATACACAGTATACTTATAAATGAACTGTTGGACTCCAATTCAATCTGAAATTATAACCTTTTTTATAAAAATCTTGATCATACATCATTAGAAACAGTTTAAATTTAGTATAAAAAAATAATATACTGATGAATGGATAGTTCATCCATAAGGATAGAAAATCGAAATCAACATAATAAATATTAGAAAGGTCACGAAATAAAATTCTGTGAATTGTGGTATGTAACAAATTATGGATTTCAATGTTAATATAAAAGAGGAAAAAATGGGCATTAAATGAATCCATGCAGAAATCCCTTTGAAAACTATCTAAAAGTATTGCTTTCCATAGAATAATTCTAATCATTTTATCTTTTATACATATGGTATAATACCTTACTCCACATTAAAGTTTCTATTATAATTTTTTGGACATGTGTACTGTTTAGCTCTCTTAATAATAACTTCCAAACTTGCAGCCGGTTTTTATTTTCTGTTGGATTTAATGTATTTATTAAAATATGAAGAAGAACTGGCCGAAGAAATTCAATTTGATGTTTAGATTCTCTAAAATCAATAAACGAGTTATGAATATTTGACTGTATACAATTTTATTATGTATTAATAGTTATATATATATATATATATATATATATATATATATATATGATTTAGTAATGTCACAACTGTTTCACTCACAAAGTTTCATCGTTCAAAATAGTATCTATCTGGTTTAAGATGTCATTCCAGGCACATTCTCTTTTCATAAGAATTGTCACAAACGGATGCTGAGAAGAATTTATATTGAAGGGATTTACATAATCTTCATCAACTGAGTTTTTAATCTTATTTTTCATATCCATTATAAGTAGTTGCCCTAGAGCTGAAATCACTCCACTGTAAAATCTGCAAAAATGAATATAAGTAATATGTTTAACTTTTGATTCAGATAATACTGATCTCTTACAAATTATATCGCGATCCAAGTGAACGCTACTTAGGTATATATAGTACTTAATTAGGTATATTCGGCTTCATGTTTTTACCTTATCAATTATGGAAATAGACAGCTATTTCACAAATAAATATCATAATTATATTTTTGTATCTGTATACATAATTGTATCTTGTAAAAAATAAATTGCAGATCTGTTAGACCTTATTTTTCCTACTCGATATAATATTTGTCCTACATATACATATATACATAACAAATTACTTGGATGATAGAGCTGATGATAAAATAGTAGAAACTATGTAATTGAACTCCAACGCGCCATCCTGTGCAAGAATCATCATTCCATGGCAAGAAGTAATACTTAGTAAAGGATTTGATGACATGCATGACTCTTGTAGAAGCTTGAATTCTGCAGAAGTCTTTGCCTTTTCGGACGACTCAATGTTTTTAATAGCAAGAACGAGCTTGGATATTGCACTAGATATTAATATATTGTTATTAGTTTTAAGTTTGTAGTCTATTTCATCCATTTCAATTAAATTATTATTTTAACTCTGTAACATTAATTAAATTAACTCTTTGATGTTATTTCCAAATTTAAAATAACCTCTTTTCAGTTGTCAACTATAATTTATTTTATACCATGTTGGCTATACTTAAATACGCTTTGCATATGATTTACGTATGATCTTACTTACCCATCCCATATCTAATCATATAATATGTTATCTATGGATATAACCTCAACTAAATGTTAATACTAATACTAATAGGTTAAATTTGCATGCCTTGAAAAATTTAAATAAATAAGTGTATTAAAATGTTTAAAAACACTTTAAATTTATTTCAAAAATGCAGATTTGGAGTGACGTTAACAAGAGTTAATGATGGTACATTTATGATTATTAATATACCAAGCCTTCTAATATTCTAATTATAATTGTTACATTGTAGTGCAATTCAAAAATTTATATTCACAAGCTGCATTAGGGATAGATAATTATGTTAGAAACAGAGAAAGAATACAGGGCCAATTTACAAATATGTTAGATACATTTAAAAGTAAGATGTCTGATTTCGTGGTACCATCATCGATGAATATGATATTTACAGAAGATTTAAAAAATATGATACATGTAGCCGAATCAAATTCTCATGATATTGATTTAGTTGTAAAAATGATGATTAAGTGAGTTACATATTTGCCATTTTATATAAAATTACTTGTTGCATTAATTTAATACTGAATTGATGTACAATGATATTATTATTGATAGAAGCACAATATTTATTCAATAAACAGATTTAACAAACAAAACAAGGATTTGCGTTTTGGGAGCTTCGTTTTTGGACCCGTAGTAATGAGGATGTTTCATTACTTAGATGATCCCAACACTGCTTTACAGGTATTGTTTTATATTTTCTGAAACAGAGAGTTTAATTAATTTGTTTATTAATGAATTACAATTGTAGTGTTTTTTAGACCCTGAATTAGCCGGCTTTTTTGATCAAGTTTCAAGTTATCAAATTCTCATGGATCTCCTATTAGAACATGATAGATATGAAGATATATTAAAGGTTTATGATCATGTGAAAAAACAACAAATTCAAGGTTTGCGTCATCCAAAAAATATTGTTGTACTTGTTTGTGCTGCTTGTTACAAAAAGGTGTGAATTATGCTATATTTTGATTAGTTATCAAATTATTTCTATAACAACCTTTTATTGTAGAATACAGAAGAAAGTTTCAAATATGCTTGTGAATTTTGGGCAGAATTAATATCTGTTGGTCATCAACCCATGAGAAGGGCAGCTACGTTTGTAGCAAGTCTTGCTTTGAACCACAATAATCCAAATGTTGCTTTAGAAGTTCTCTCAAATACAAAACAACAAAATTATATGACTGTGAGAAATTTGAAGGTAAAAAAAATATTTTTTGCTTCATAAATCTAATTTAATTATTGCAATTATTTATTTTAATTTTATAAATGGTAGGCTGTGGCATTAGCTCAATTGGGTCGCCATGAAGATGCTTTAGGTTTATTAAGATCTGTTGTAAATACTGATAGTACTCTAGACAAAAAGGGGACTTTTGCCAAAGATTCTATAGAAAAAATAAGTATGATCATTAAATCAACAAATAACAAAGATTTAGTTAATGAATTTACCAGTATAGAAAAGTATTTGATTGAAAATGGTCACCTGACCGATGATGTAAGTGCATTTTATACTAGAATAATTAGGCATATTATAATGTTTTTAATATAATATTTATTATTATAGTCCCTTCATGATTTATTGAATTCGGAGATAGCACTTGTTCAACAAAATCTGAACAGAAATGCTATGTATCAACATAACATAAAAATGCAAAATTACTACAAAGGTACGTACATTAGAATTGTTTAATAAATTATATACATACTGTATATGACATTTTATTTTAGGAAATTCTGGCAATTACAATAAATTTAATAATAATAAGTTAAGAAGACCTGGTATAACTGACATGTATTAATCAAGGAATTAATTTAGAATTATTTTGTAATAAGCAAATATAGATGAAACCACTTTTATTAATCCAATCATTATTTTATTTCATTAATGCTGTATGCGATTGCAACAAGTTCTTCATTTCTTTAAATACAGTGTCATGTAGCAGTAGCAAATCCAATTTTACTTGCATTTATGTCATATAATGTATAGTATTGTGCTAAAAATGCGCTTCCAAGTGTCCACAAATTATTTTGGTCTGCAAATTCAGTTGATGCAAATACAGATAGACATGCACTGACACCTTTCATTTCCATCTATAAAATTAAAATCATTATTCACTGTGACTAGAGAGACACATTCATTTGTTACAACCTTTTGTGCTAATTCCTTCCCATGTAATGTGAAATTTCTTCCAGCAATTAAAAATCGTACATGAGGCAATTTTGTAACTTTACCGCAATCAACCTATGAAAACAACAAAATATTTGAGAGATATTTTCAATAATACAATAAAATATTTACGGAGAAATTATTTTTTATGCGATTATAAATAAATTAACATGCACACAGAGAAATTACAAATCATAAAAGTATTGAATATATAATTATAATTGCTTACCTGATAGTACCCCATTAAAAGTTCAGTAGCTGACATGAGGCTATTAATTCTTTTTATTATTTTGGAGGGTCCAGAAATAATACTTGTACTTGAATCAATTATACTTGGACATGTTGAGTCACACAAAGAATAAGATTTGGTTCCAAGATCCAAGTAAATACTAGAGTAAAAATTAAATGACTACATTATTTACTGAATAATCTGAAAATATTTGTGATAAAAATAATATTTACTTATCAATATTGAATTGCCAATATTTTTTTTGAGTAACCGAAGTATAAGTCCAGCTTCCATTATAATGTTTAGGATTTGATGCTCCGATCATGATGGAACCAGCATGATTTGTCGTTGGATCTCTGAACATAACACTCATTATAATTGATATTTAAATATTTTATAAATTTTAGTAGTACCTATTCATATAAATAGAAAATATAGGTTTCTTAATCAATTGTTGATAAACCATATTATAAAATATTGGCATTATGTTGCCAATAGATAAACTGCTGAATGCTAATCCTAATACTCCATCTGCTTTTGAAAACAAGTAGTGCCATGGCAAACATGTTACTTCCCCAAAAGTCTGATTTTTAACATTTATGTGGCCAATCTAAATGGATAATCAAAAAATTTATTAGGCAATTTATTCAAATAACATGTCTATGTTTATAAACTTACATAAAAACTTTCTATTGAAAAGAACCCTGTTATGGCTTCTTTGCCTGAGCCAAAAGAAAATTCTTTACCGTTTTCTTGAAATGTTGATGATGCCAAAGAGTCATATTTATTAAGATTCCCTGATAACCAAAAGGCAAATTATAATTAGAGTGTTTGATAATCAAACTAATACATAGTCCTACATATAAATTATTTTGTTTTTTTTTTTAATTTCTGCATACTCAAACAAAATAAACTTTACATAAAATAAATTTTAAAAAAGTGCTCATTAAAAGGCTGTATATACTTCTAAGTGTACAATAAAACTATGTCCTAATATTCTTATTTAGTCATTAATTATTGTATAAAGTTAAATTTAAATATCTATCAAATACTTACAACATCCAACACATTTTAATCCACATTGTTTCGAGGCCACCCATGTTTCTGCCCATGCAGTGTCAACCACAAGTTTGAAATACTTTACAGGATGGCCTATTCCAACCTCAGCATAAAATTCAGTCTTGAAACAATAAACAATATTTATTAATTTAAACATTCATTGTGGACAACGATTCATGGAGTTCAGTCACTTCTTTCAATGCATTAGCACAAAGGTCATTGGATAAAAACATGGACAAAAAATGTTCTTTTTGTTCTTTGGAAACATTATATGTATCAATCAATTGCTTTGGATTGAGATCTCTAGATCTCAATAAAAATTCACAAACTGGTGTCAATATTTTTGGGTAAACACATGCCAAGTCTATTAAATCATTAGGGTGTTGTAATATTAATCCCCATAAATAAGTTACATTACAAATTTTTAATACAAACTCATCTAAGATAATAGTTGTTATTATTTCAGAATTTGTGCCAGTTAATTTACATTTTAGCATGTGCATTATAAGCTTGATTTTCTCATCATCTAGACCTTGAAAAATGGTTGAAATCTTTCTCCGTAAATTGTCAATATTTTGGCCACCTTGATCTTGCCAATAAGAGAAATAATAATACGCTTCAGTGTCAAGCATTTCAATGCTATTCATTTTAACAGATGTAATAGAATCATTCAGAACCTTATATGAAGAAGCAGTTAATATTAGATGTGTGAGTAGTTTTTCGAATCTCTCTTGACCACATTTTTCTATATACGCATTTATTGCACAATCAATGATATCTAACTCCAAATCTGAGTTATGAAGGAACTTAACCAAAATAAAATCAGATGATGTTTCTAACATTTTTTTATCCAGTTTGATAACCATGTTAATATTCTTCAAGCATAAATTGCAAGTTAGAAAAAAATCATCATAATTATTGGTTGTTATTGCTTCCTTTGTCATATTTTCAATACAGCGAGCAATTTTAAAGGCATTTTGGATTCGGGAAAAACTTGTATTATTAGAAGGCCAAGATTTGATTGTGTAAAGAGTAAAATAGTCTTGAATAGTTTTGAAAATTTTATTTTCAGATGAAAGACCTGTTGACATATTAGACAACTGAGAAATTAAATTTTCACTGCTGATAAAGTTGAGTTACTATTTAATTATGTGTTTTAGTATAATTGCGTTTTATATTCTATTTAATGTTAAATATATTTTAAACACAAAGAATAAAAACTTTATTGTCTAGAATTTTACACAATAATTAAAATGCCATAACCTCAAAAATTAGACATAAAACGAACTTAGAAAAAGCTTTATGTGGTAACACTGCTAAGTGTTATCCATACTCTTCTTTTATCTATGGTGTTATCAATTAACGCCATAGAATCATGGAATACATGGAGTAGAATATTTTCGGGGATTCCCTGAAATTAATATTGCATGAATAATGTCACGAAGGCCACGATAATTTTAAGATAACAATTTAGAGGTCATAAATAGGTCTTTTATATTTACCAACTGAATATCTGAATAATAACTAGTGGGGTGCTTGGCATCGTGCCTTAGGGCAAATTGCTGGAACTTCCCGTACCGTAATTAAAAATCTTGGTACGGAACCAAAAAAAAAATACACAAAATGCGTACATATTACGAAAATCTCTATAAAATAGCTGATAATTTGATGTGCATAAGTCTAATAAACATTTTGGACCGCCAAATGACATTTTTTTAACTTATTTTTATTGAGAGTTCATAACCGCGTGACCTGCCTTCCCAAAAATTTAATCAGTTTCTCATCTTGTCAATACAAATAAAATGCTTTTTGAATTATTAAAATCGGACGCTCCGTTCTCTTAAAAACTGAGTTACCGTTTTTGGCACTTTTTACCCAGTATCTTTGGAACGGCTAGACCCGCCTTCGTTAAAAAATAATCAGCACGTCTCCTTATCCATACGAATCGAATGATTTTGAATTATTCAAATCGGTTGATCGGTGTTCCCGAAATCGTCGACGAAAATTTGTATCTGCACACACACACACTCACACACATACACTAACACATGCACACATACACACACATACGTCCATTTTTTGTAAGGTATGCCAAAATGTTCAGAAACCTATGAAACGTTAAGATAAAAATTTTCATTTTCGATTTTTTTGCAATTACTATAACCTACCCTACGGAAAGTTAATAACTTCATATAGAACTATGATCAACAAAATTATACTTACATCTAAAAATTTATAAATTGCTATAGTATCATTGTCCTTAGGACCTGGAGGAGGTTTAGGTTTAGATGGATCCGAATAATAGCTTTCGTTTTCTTGAATATCTTTCCAAACCGCTATACGCATATTTCGATCCATTTCAATCAATTGAAGTCGAGGACTTTTCCACCGTCTTAACTTTATTCTGCATTATAAAATTTAGTTATTGAAAACAAAATATATTAAAAATTTGGCCATAAATAAAAAATATATTCACTCGAAACTTTTACTTCTCGCATCAATGATAAAGGAACACATAATAATTAAAATTAAAATTTTGGCGATACAATAATTATTTTTATAAGCCATTTTATTTTCAATCCGCACTTCTTCAGTTGCTAAAAGATACTAACAATGAATCGACGCTTCTACTCTTGTATTTGAGTGAGCGAAGGTTTAAGCGCATACATACAAGAACATATATTTTACTTTAAAATCTCGTTTTTAGCGATCGTTCTAGGAAAACTGTGTATGTATGTACTGTTGCACTTAATTAAATAATTAAATCAAATGATTTTATATCTCAATTGTGCTATATATAATTGCTGCATGTTATTAGATAAATATATTTATGTAATAAATTATTAACTTCCCGAAGGAGTTTATGTTTTCATAAAAAAATCCGAATTGCTAATTTTATGTTTTTTCGACGTTTCAAGCCATTCTGAATCGAATGAGACCAAATTTGGAAAAAGTATGTGTATGTGTGTGTTTGCGTGTATGTGAACAGATTTTTTGCCGTAAATCGACGTTTTCTCGAAAACGGCTGGACCGTTTTCAAAAATTTAAAAGCCACTCGGTGTATCTCGATGAGGACTATTGTTTGTCAGTTTGTGCGACGATCGGTCAAGCCGTTTCTTTATAAATCGCAGAAAAGATATTGGTTGGGAATCGTGCTGATTAGTTTTTGGTAGAGTTAGGGCGGGCAGTTTTCTTGTAATGAAGTTAAAAAAACGACGATTTTTATGATTATTTTTTTGACGGTAGATACCATAGTCTTCTAGATCATACTAAAATATTACGGCCCTACGACAACTGGTTTAGCTTTAAAAATTCATCAAAGTTTGCAAAAATTAGTATCGTTTTTTTAGCATTTGTCAAAATTAGAACTTTCATCGACGTTTGCTCAAAAACGCCTGAACCGATTTCAGAAATTTAAAAAGCATTTGATATATCTCGATGAGGATTATCGTTTCTCAGTTTTGTGCAACGATCGGCCAAGCCGTTTCTTTGTAATTTGGAAAAAAGTATTAAACCTTTCGTCCACATTTAAGCTCATACTACCGAACCGATTTTAAAAAATCAAAAACTGTTCGAAAGATATTAGTTGGGAATGATACTGATTAGCTTTAGGTGAAAATCTACCGAGCCGTTTTCTTGTAATTAACTGTTGAAAAAAAAATTTAGGCCGATTTTTATGGATCTTTTTTGGCGATATATTACGTTGTCAAATATCTCCCTTCCGCTTTTTTGCTCTTGGTTTATAATACAAAAAGACGGAAGGGAGATATTTGACAACCTATTATATCATGGTCTTATAGAACTTACTGAATTATTACAACCTTACGACAAATAGTTTAATTTTAAAAATTCATCAAACTTTGAGAAAAAGAGTAGTTTTTTTTGACGTTTGTTAAAAATAAAATTAGATGATTTAGTTGATATAACGATAGTGTACTTGGTCTTGAACATAGTAAACCATGAAAGTCCTACGGAAACTGGTTCAATTATAATTATTGATTAATTAAAATTATTGATTTTTGAAAATTTGCTTTTAGAAAATACTCCGTGTTTGTTCGTTCGTTTGCAATGATGTGTAATAAATCCACTCGGAATACTTTTAATCACTCATAAATTAATTTATTTATTATTGATTAAGTCGATTATTTATACATATCGGGAAGTTTATGTAACTTGCCTCAAGGCTAAATACCAAACCAACTAGTTTTTTCTTATAATCAATAGTTATGTTTGCCTGTATATTTTTTATAATATTTGTATTATTTGACACGATTATTACAAAATATTTATTTTTACGAAACGATAAAACACAAAAACAAAACTGTATCAAAATCCTAAGTTAAGGGGTTAAACCAGTGGTTTCCATCCTTTTCCTCCTTGCGCCCCCCTTTCGAAAGAAAAAAATATTGCGCCCCCCCTAATTGTTCTAATAATTTGATTTAAATATACTTAACTGAAATTATGCCAAATAACACACAATATACATACAAACATAATTATCGATTATAAGACAAAATAATTTTAATGAAAACAAATCATAGAAAAATAATAATTACACCATTAGAAGAATGTAATGCGACGGTTGAGCTTGTTTTTCAGAATATCATCATATTCCTCAATGACAAATAGATTTCTGATCCATTCGTATTTGGACATATCTAGATTTTTTTAGATGACAGTTTCTCAGCATTTAAAATTAATATTTCAATTACTCAAAATTTAAAATTAATATTATTAAAACAGCTTTGCGCCCTCCTTGGAACGGTATGGGGCCCCCCTAGGGTTGGTGCGCCCCACAGGTTGGAAATCGCTGGGTTAAACACTCACAACTGACGATAATACTAATATGTGTATGATAAAAAAGTTTAATAGTTTCATAGCCTGCAATATTTGTGGTATGAAAAATGTTATATTTTATGCAATGTTTATGAAATTTTGAAATTCACATCTAATACGCCTGTAGACATTATAATAATAGATACTTGGCATGCTCCTATTTCTAATTGAGATATAGAAAATGTTTAAGTTGAATTTTATTCTATTATCAACTTCTTGTAGGGTAAGTCATAATAATCGTAAAAAATTGAAAATGGAAATTTTTGCATATCTTTACGTTTCAAAGGTTACAGAACATTGCAATGCAATTATCGTCCACGATTTCGGGCGCACGGATTTTTTGAATGATTCGAAAAACATTTGCTTTCTGTTGATGGCAAGACGTGCTGCGTCCCGTAAAGCATTTTTAAAATAAATTTTTATTTTATAACTTTCTCCCATTAATAAATTAATTATAATGTATTATTTTATTGTTGCATTTATTTTTGAAATAAGTTTTTTTTATTTGTATTTTTATATTGATAGGTACACACCTATTAAACAGGCTGATTAAGTAATAATTTAACGTTCACTTTCTGCTTTCTTACAAATAATATTAATACTACTAAAAACCATACAACTCTTCACATTGCAGTACCACCCAAAAATATATTTTCAACGCACGATTCAAATGATAATTTTTAGTTATTCTTTCTAAAAAGTCTAAAATTTGTTTACAAATTTCTGTAAAAAAAATCAATGTAAAAACATAAAAAGCAAATTAATTATTATTATTAATTTGTATTTTTTAATATTCTATACAATTCGATATTATTTTGTAATATATTCATATATACATTAAATTAAAATTAAAATATTCTATATAAATTAAAATATTGATTTAAATATTTTGATACTGATAATTACAGTTATAACTGGAATAGAAATTTTTCCATGAATTAATAAATTAAATAATTTTTAATTGATTTAAGAGTATAAAATGCAAAAATTATTAATAATTAAAAGTGACTTCAAAAAAATTGTTTACTTATAAGCTTGAGCAAGAAAAAACTGGAAAGTAACAAATTTAAAAGTAAAGATTTATTTGATTTTTTTTTTATTTGTAAGACTTTTCTATATAAGTTTATAATTATCAGTAATGCGTGCAACCTATAGTGATACATCTATGTATATTAATTAAAATAATTATCTAAATATCTAATTTTGACAATAGTATTTATAGCTAGATGCAACTCTTTTCCACGCCACCCAGGAGGTAGAGTTGCTAGGCGCGTTTTTTTTAATGTGGTGTCGCCACAGAAATGCAACGACTTCTGCAGCCCTAATCCACCTAAACTAACTTATTGACTAATTATAAGTAACTAATAAACGAATTGTACCGAATGTAACGCGAAACGAACCCCGCGAGATGACCTAATATACCCAAAAATTTCGATTTTTAAAAGCGAAAGAACCTCTCGGTGTGTAGTGTGTAGTTTTTATAAATATGAAATTGTATGAAATATTAATATGAAAATTGTAATGTGATTTTGTAACGGTGATTGTGATATTATAAAAAAAGCATACACATGATGTACCCCCCAGAGTACAGAAGTACTCCCCAAATACACCATGCAATTACTTGGAAAAAAACTTCATAGTTTCCCAGCCTATGAAGCTTATGGGCGAATCATTTTGTGATTCGCAATTATTAATTAATTGATGTAAAGAAAAACGCGGAAAAAATGAAAGGTTCTTCCACGACGCCACCCCCCTTTGAGCTCAAACAAAAATACGCGAACAACCCCAAAAAAGGTATGACTGAAGATATTAACGTGAAAACGCGAATTAATAATACGGGAACAACTTTAAAAAACGTATGACCGAAAAACGCGCCTTATAAATAATATAACTACTTAATATTAATTACTTAATAATAATAGAATAATATAACTAAAGTCTTCTCACACTTCATATTCATCTTGATATTCACCAATCCGGCAGTTTTCTTCTGTTGATCTTGATCCGTCAGCAGTCTTCTGTTGGTCCTGGTTGGCCCCTGGAAAGTGATGGATAATTATGAAATAAAAATTGATTATTATTTTAAATTAATTTGAAAATAAATTACAAAATATTCGACCGAAATTTTCACGTCAAAAGGACCCTTAACTAAACATTAGTTTAATATAATACAATAATATCGACACACTATTATAAAGATCCAATAATAATAATACAATATAATTAAAGTTTTTTCTTACATTTTATCTTTGCTCGATATGATTTCATTTATGCGCATAATCTCCAATCTGGTAGCGGCTTCCTGGTTGTCTTGAAGAGGAAATCTTCTGGAAATCTTCATGGAAATACACCTGAAACGAGATTAAAAAAAAACACAAATTTCCCTAAAAGGGATGAGCATATAAACGGGGCCCCGGTAATGTTAATATTAAAAAATTATATACTTATATAAATGTAAGTCTAGATAACGACTAATTATATGTAATACGAGAAAACTAATATATGCATGCATATTATCCTGGAATGTGCTTCTCCTGTAGTAGTTGGTCTTGGCGTTGATTCCTCTGGTATCACAAGTCCCTCCTGGGTCGTGCTTCTCCTGTAGTAGTTGGTCTTGGCATTGATTCCTCTGGTAGCACAAGTCCCTCCTGGGTCGTGCTTCTCCTGTAGTAGTTGGTCTTGGCATTGATTCCTCTGGTAGCACAAGTCCCTCCTGGGTCGTGCTTCTCCTGTAGTAGTTGGTCTTGGCATTGATTCCTCTGGTAGCACAAGTCCCTCCTGGGTTGTGCTTCTCCTGTAGTAGTTGGTCTTGGCATTGATTCCTCTGGTAGCACAAGTCCCTCCTGGGTCGTGCTTCTCCTGTAGTAGTTGGTCTTGGCATTGATTCCTCTGGTAGCACAAGTCCCTCCTGGGTCGTGCTTCTCCTGTAGTAGTTGGTCTTGGCATTGATTCCTCTGGTAGCACAAGTCCCTCCTGGGTCGTGCTTCTCCTGTAGTAGTTGGTCTTGGCATTGATTCCTCTGGTAGCACAAGTCCCTCCTGGGTTGTGCTTCTCCTGTAGTAGTTGGTCTTGGCATTGATTCCTCTGGTAGCACAAGTCCCTCCTGGGTCGTGCTTCTCCTGTAGTAGTTGGTCTTGGCATTGATTCCTCTGGTAGCACAAGTCCCTCCTGGGTCGTGCTTCTCCTGTAGTAGTTGGTCTTGGCATTGATTCCTCTGGTAGCACAAGTCCCTCCTGGGTTGTGCTTCTCCTGTAGTAAGTGGCCTCGGCATTGATTCCTTTTGTATCACAAGTCTCTCCTGGGTTGTGCTTCTCCTGTAGTAGTTGCTCTTGGTATTGATCGATATACTTTTTTTAAAAAAATTCAAACACTTTTCAAGCACCTGCGTCTTCAACATTTCTCCGTCACGGGAGACCCATTGTGCAATAACGAGAATTTTAAATTTATTTGATTAAATTATAGTACATAAAAGCAGAAAAAATCCGTTAAAATAAATATAAGTAATTTGAGAAACAAGCTGGATTTCAAAATTTCAAACTAGATGCTTGAATGCGCATATAACGTAAGGTAATTAATAAAATAATTCAAAAAAAAATTAACATCACTCTTAATATGTACATATAGTATTATTTATGAATTAAAGCGTATGGCGTTGCTCCGCTTCTGGGAAAAACTTTGCAAGCAACCACACACCGACGAACAAAAATTAATTTAATAAATAATCGCGAACTACTCGAACCTGCCGAGGGGGGAGGGCGACAGGTTTTAAAAACGCGCAAACTAGGCTTTAAAATTCGTTTTAAACGATTAAAAAAAAACTATAAATGATTAACGATAATAGTTTCGAACTCAATTTTCCGCACAAACAAAACAGAAAAACGGTTGGACGTAAGTAAGTAACTAAATCATAATGATAAAAATAGATTTTTAATTAAATATTGTAAATATAATAAAAAGATGTAAAAAAAGGCACAATGAATCCCCAGTCACCCGCCATGGTTCAAAACACCACACTAAATCTGAAACAAGTTGAACAAATAGAAAATAAATAAAACAATAAAATAATAAACATAAACAAATAAATACTAGTCAGTTGTAAATACAGTAGAAGTGCCTTAGTCGCGCTTCTTTCATTTGCGTTTTCGCAATTCCCGGCCAAAAAAAAATTAAAAAAAAAGTATTTCAAACATAGGATTTATAATAAAATTGTATGTTGACTACTAAATCTGTTCTAAACCGACAAGGTATACATTACAATCTAAATATATATTAGGTTATTTATGTTAACTCCGAAGCTAAAATTGAATATATTCATAACAAAAAACACGAAGGCGACTTCTCAGCAAATATATATTAGAGTATAAAAAGTAATATAAATCGTTTAATATAAAAGTGACGAATATTTACTTCAATTTATTTGAATTCTTTTATTCATTATTGAACAGTGGATCAAGTCAAACACAATCGATCAAAACAAAAATTTCATGCAACACAATATAAAAAAATTTCATTATTACACAATACAAATATTTTTAAAAGACTTACCATCGAACTGTCCCCACGAGCTCCAAACACTGAATGGTTTGACTTCGGTTTTTGGACCCAATTTATAGGGTCGAAACGGCGTGAATTGTTACCAGATGATATTAAAATTCAATAATTGTTATCTATTCGGAATAGTTTTGGGATCAGAATCATAGAGGGCGCAATACGAAAGTAAATATGCAATTTTAACTCAGTAATAATCTAACCTTCGTGGCGGTTGTTGTCAAGTATTATTTCTCTTAATTATATTTTTATTTATGTTTGTGGCTTAATAATTTGTGTGTTTTGTCGATTAACAATGAACAGTAGTATATATATATATATATATATATATATATATATATTTATTTATTTATTTGTGTGTAAGTGAAATATAAGGAAGGTTTCGGATGCAACGCTATTTTATTAAAAACCAATAAAATATCATAACAAATTATATTTTGAAAAATCAAAAACTGTTCGAAAGATATTAGTTGGAAATGATACTGATTTTTTTTGCGATATATATCATGGTCCTATAGAACATACTGAAATATTACGGCCTTACGACAAGTAGTTTAATTTTAAAAATTCATCAAAGTTTGAGAAAATGAGTAGTTTTTTTGACGTTTGTTAAAAATAAAATTAGACGATTTAGTTGGTATAACGAGTGTACTTGGTGTTGAACATAGTAAACAATCAAAGTCCTACGGAAACTGGTTCAATTATAATTATTGTTTAATTAAAATTAATGATTTTTGAAAATTTGCTTTTAGAAAATACTTCCAGTTAACGTGTTCGTTTGTTCGTTTGCAATGATGTGTAATAAATCCACTCGGAATACTTATAATAACTCATAATTTAATTTATTTTTTATTGATTAAGTCGATTATTTACACATTTCGGGAAGTTCATGTAACTTGCCTCAAGGCAAAATACCAATACCAACTAGTTTAATTAAATAATTATTAAATAAAATACAATTTAAAACAAGATTTTTTAAATATTCGAAACTTTTTATATCAATATGATAATTCGAATCAGGTTTCAAGTACTTGATTCGTATTCAATCGATTCCGAGAAAGAGTTAGCGAATATAGCAAAGTATTTTTTAACTTCCCGTAGAGTAAGTTATAGTAATGACAAAATCGAAAATAAATTTTTTTATTAATCTTTACACTTTAAAGCCTTCTGAACATTTTGGCATACCTCAAAAAAAATTGATGCATGTGTGTGTGTATGTGCGAATACAACTTTTCGTCGAGGATTTTGAGAACACGGATCAACCGATTTGAATGATTCAAAAAACATTCGATGCCTATTGATAAGAAAATATGTTTTGATTAGTTTTTGGCAAATGCAGGTCCAGCCGTTTTGAAGATATTAGACAACCTGACATTGCGCAGTAGCGATGTTTATTTTTGTTTGAAAATGTAGATGAAAATGGCAATGGTAAATCCCTTACACTATTCTTCCCTGAATCGAGTTGGAGTTTAACTCAACTCATGGACATGCCCTAGAGCAGTACTGCCCACAATTTGTATGTATATATATGTATTTTAGAAACTTTCTATCTTAAACTCCGTATAGTAAATACATAGTTTCGACAACTTGTTAAGTTATCAGATTTATTTGTGTGTTTTACCATCTGTGATGCTAAAAAAATATATTTTATCAATGTGCACATACTCATACGATGGATTAATAATATTTTCATTTGTTGTATTAGGATACAAAATTTTAAATTGATTGCCACTGAATGAAGGCTAAGATGCCATCCGAAACGTAAGAATTTTAAATAAATAAATTTCTTAAAACTTTCGTACTATTTTTATTGATGTAATGCCCGACTTTTTAACTGAAATTAATATATTTTCAATTAAATTAATATACATATAAATAATTTATTTACTTGCTGTTAAAAAACCATGAGATATTATTAAAGATAATTAACTTCCCGTAGGGCAAGTTATAGTAATCGCAAAAAAATCGAAAATGAAAATTTTTCAGAGATTTCTGAACGTTTCTGAACATTTTGGCATACTTTAGAAAAAATTGATGTATGTGTATGTGTGTGTATGTGCGGATACAAATTTTCGTCGACGATTTCGGGAACACGGTTTAACCGAATTCAATTATTCAGAAAACATTCGATCTCTATTAATAAGGAGACATGCTGATTAGTTTTTGGCATAGGCAGATCTAGCCGTTTCGAAGATACAGGGTAAAAAGTGCCAAAAACGGTAGCTCAGTTTTTAAGAGAACGGATTGTCCGATTCAAAATCCTAACAATAAAGTCGATATTTGAATCATTCATTCAGAGCAACTTAAAACATTATGTTAGTATGATTTTATGTTAACTACCCAATTAAAAAAATTCAAATATCTGAATAAATTTCTAAAGATTCAATAAAATTTTGATTTCAATAAAACTAAAATTGGGTACTAAAATAATCAGAAAGACTTTTTATTGGAAAAAAAATTACATATTGTATTTTTTATAAATTACTTCAAGATTTAAAAAATATTATAAGAGAAGTAATTGAAATAAATAAAATTGGAATTAAAATAAGAGGTTGCAATTGTTAGCATTATTTTATTTTTCTATACAGCTTACTTAGATTTAAAAAAAATGATATTTTAAGTATATTTAGTTTATATGATTTATACAGTGATATTTCCATATTTTAAATAAATTACTGATTCATTGTTGTCAATAAAAATATATTTCACATATTACAAAATATAATATTTAAATTAGTGTAAATACTATATTTGAGAATAGAATAAGTATCATTCTCAAGGTTGAGAACCACCGACTTCTTATTTTAAAATGCAAAAAAGTTGGAATATTTTTGTTATAAACCGAATAGTCACACCAAGCATAATTTCTATCATTACATTCAAAAATGATTTTTTTCGGGTATTATTCCTAATAATTCATATCAGTTTTTGATGAGTGGTCGTACCGCTTGTTTCAGGACAATACCAAATATTTAACATTTACATTTTGTGCCAAAAATCATTATAATTTGAGTGATAATAGTGTAGTAATCAATAAATAACATATAGAACTGATCTTTAGTGAATTTGTGATAGTGAAAAATATTATATAATAATAAAATGCACAGGTAAGTTAATGTAACTTGATTTATTAATAAGGCTTACTACTGACGGTATACTTTTAAGATTTTAATTATTTAAATATTGTTATTAAAATTACTTCATATTTTGGTACATAATAAATAGATAATACTTATTAATAATAATGATACTTAATACTCAGCAAATTGATATCAGGAATAGTGAAATGTAAGTACATGTAAAAAATTATTTAATGATTAAGTGTCTCAAGTTCGAGTAATTTAAAAGAGTTAATTAAAAACCATGCTTTAAATTATAAGAAAAAAATTATCAACCACCATAATGAATTAACTTTAGAATTATATAATACCCATCTCTTCAGGCTTAAAGAAACATTTAATATGTCTTATTATAATTAGTATATATGCTATTATTATTAACTGTTCAAATTCTTTGAATTAGTTGAATTGTTACTAATAGTTGGTTTATTATACTTATTGTTAGAATAATTTTATTTGTGTTTTTTAATTTTTTATACCAACCACAAGCGTTACTGCAAGAGTAGTCATTTAAAAGCCTTTATATTAAATTTTTCAATCTATTTACTAAATGATTGTAATTTATATTGGAAATATGGAACAAATCCTTATTTCTGAGTTCAAATTTTTGAGTATGATTATTTCGATACCTCTTAGTATGTTTTATGAAATTTATAAAATTATGAATACTTCATACGTTGAATATTCTTCACTAAATTAACGTATAATTATTATAGTATAAAAAAATTGTGAATATATAGTGTATTATGTCCACAAAAAAATGAAATATTTCAATTGCTTGCTTTAATATTTTACATCTAAAATCAATTAATATAGTATATGATTAATTATATAATCAATAAATCTTTAT